ACTTGAGAACAGGGTGGGGGTAGGGGCCAGGGTGAGGGCGGCGACGGCACTAAATGAAAAACAACTCAATACCCTGCTATCATCCTTCATCAAACTACAGAAATAGAAACCAGACAAACACATTATGTGAAGGGCAAAAGGGTTGGCAAGGTTCTGGCCCGTAGGAAAAACCCAGGTTCAATAATGCCATGAGCAGAGGGAGGTAGGGAAGTGAGGTCAAAGTTAATAGTGGGGCTCGTGTGGAAAGGGTGGTTTTATAGTACTAATGAGGCTTAAACACCGCACATTCCTCTTCTGCTGAACTCGGTTTCTCATTAGGCTTTGTATTGGCTCCCGGATCCGCCAGCCACAGGGCAGGAGTCGCTTCTACTTCCTCTGGCCCGTGAATTATCAAGGGTATTCTCTGCCTTTCTTTTTTGGGGAAAGAAGGCTTTGGAGTAGAAAGTGCTGTCTTCTATTTATATCTAGTCTTCTCTCTCTGATTAGAGAGATGATAAATTTTGGGGAAGGAGCCTGGCCCAGAGAACTCTGTCTTTATTTAGAAGAGTGCATGGTCAAGACAGCAAGCTAAGGTCATCTGCTCTGCTCTGGGTCTCTATCTGTTCTTCCAGCGGGAGTGTGAGGTCTCAGACTATGTTTCTGAATATTTTTTAGGGTTGTTGGAATAGCCACATCTTTTGTGTCAAGCTCTGTGCTTGCTGCTAGGGACACAAAAATCAAGGAAGGGACTAAGAAAGCATTCATGGTCCGAAAAAGCTTATAAAATAGAGAGAGTACATCACCAGGTTGTCTGATGGCTGTCAGGTAACTAGAGTAGAGGTAACTGGGTTAACAATAAATGGTGTCTGGATAGATCTTCCATAATATCTGTTCTTCCCTGTGGGTCCACAATAGCCCTGTGGCTAGGTGTTTAGATGCCCACTTCCCTTTCTCAGTCTCGGTATGAGGACCACAGCTGGGCCCAACTCCATCCTGGTCCTCTGACCCCAAGGCCAGTGCTGTATCCTATCAGCGTTTCCTCCTGGTGAACAGTGCTGAACTCCCTGGAAACCCTTGTGCAGGCACACAAGAATCTGCTCACTTTTTAGTAGAAACCATATCCTGGGAAACTCCTTATTTTTAAAGACCCAGATCAAACACATCATTCTCAGGGTAGCTTGTCTTCTCTTCCCCAGGCAGGTGGAGTTATATGCTCCTATAGGAGCTATATGCTCCTATGGCTTTTGGCACATATAATAGTTCTATTAATAAGGGTAACAGGAGTAATAATAGTAGTAAAAAGGTCTAAGTTACCATTATCGAGTGTGTCTAGAGCCAGATACTGTGCTAAGTGCTGTGCGTGCATTATTCAATGCTCAAAAGAACCCTGGGGGGAGAGATAATTTATTGTCCTCTGTTTACAGATTGTATCGGTTAAGAGCTGAGTTTGGCAGCTTGTAAAAACTTGTCCATGGTGGCTTAACCAAATGGAACTTAATTTGCTCAAATAACAATAAATTAAAGGTAGAGGGGCCAGGGCTGGTGGGCGTGGCTCCACAATACCTTTCTTAGCATGTAGCTTTTGTTACAGTGAAGACAAGATGTCTGTTGTTCCTCCAATCTGTGTTCTGAGCAGGAGGAAGGGTAAAGGTGAAAGGGTAAAGGACGAAGGGCAAAGAACCTTTTCTTCTTGTCGTTTTGTCTTATTATTGGGAAGTGATGCTATTCCCTATCTACATCTTGATGGCCAGGGCTGTGTTACGTGGTCACCCTTAACTGTCGGGGAGCCTGAGAGAGTTTCCTCCCTCTATTTAAAGCTAGGAAGATTTCTGCCACGAACAAAATTGGGGTTCTGTTAGTGAGGAATAAGAGGAGAATGGATATTGGGTTGGGAACTACCAGTGCCTGCCACACGAATGAAGAAACTGGGCCTTAGAGATGCTCAGGATCTCATTCAAGGTCAAATAGGTGGCCAAGTCAGATATGTGGCCAAGTCAAACCTGTGCCTGTTGGATATGAGTCCATGCTCTTGACCACTAGGAGAGATGACCTCCCTATCCTGATTGATTGTAACTGTTTTTTAAATTTGTTCCTCCTTTCTTCCCCAGACTGAGAACTCTTTGGTACCAGGAACCAATTTTATTCTTCTTGGTATTCCAGACTCTTGCTCATAGTTTGTCGAGTGGATAAATGAATAAATGTTAGGACTTCAGTAGTTTCTGCCGCTAAAATTCTTTCTAGGAAAATACTCCTTAATTTCTTCTTTCTCTGTAGTATTTTATAACCACCTGCCCCCACAGGGGTAGCTGCAGAAGTACGGGAAAGAAGTGGTCCTGGCCTTTGTACCGCTGTGGGTGCAGTTCGGCCTCTGCAACTGTTCAGAGCTTCTATTCCACCCCCTCGCCCAATGCTTACTGTTCATTTATAGGGCAGAGTCCAGTTTCTCTTTGTTCTGCCTGGTCATTCAAACATTCCTACACCTCATTGCTCTATTTCTTGGGGACATACCTGATTGACAATAATTTGAGTCACAAGCAGACTGATCCCAAATCTCATTTCTTGCTGGGTCCTGGAGCAGCCCAGGAAGGACCTAGCATTATTTAGATCCCAGTACTTGATTAAAAAACAAAACAAAACAAAACCAAAAAACCCATTGTTGTTCCACAGGGCCAGCAGGAGACATTCTGATTTTTTCTTCAAAGCTGTAATACTTGTGCTCACTTGCACAGGATTAAGCCCCATCTACTATGGGGTACTGCCAACTGGAGACCCCTAACCTAGGTTGAGACTGTCTAATTTAGCTCAAGAACAAGTCTGCAGGCGCTTGGACTTCCAACTTGATAGCCCAAGTAGCAATGTTAGATGATACATATTTACTTACTTACTAAGCAGTTACTATATGTTGGACTCTGTGTTCAGCACTTTATTTTGTCTCATCTAATTTTTAGAACAACACTGTGACTATTGTCACCTTACAAGCAAGGACTGTGAGGCTTAGTGAAAATAAAGGACTGGCTCAACACAGTGCCCCCACCAAATGGTGACTTGGGGAACTTTGGCCATCTTAATCTCCAGTGGCCCCACCCAAGCTACTTTATATAATTTTTTTAAAATCCCACAGTAGTGATAATGTTATTCTTTTATCTTGACAATGAACATTTTTCTCACTCATTTAAAATGTGAATAAAATGATAATGGTAATAATAATAAGTAACTTTTATCAAGTGGTTATAATAGGTCATTCTGTTTGAGTCCTTAATGTGTGGTAACTCGTTAAATCCTCACAATAATCCTTTCAGGAAGATAATACCATCCTAATTATCAGATGAAGAAACAGGCATAGAGAGGCTAAGGAGTTTTCACAAGGTATCATGACTTGTAAGTGGCAGAGCTAAAACTTGGCTATTTTTATTGATCTATGACACAGCCCAAGTTAAAAAAAAAGGTGCTTGCTATTAAGACCAGGCTTGAAGACAAATCCTTCAGTCCTCTCTTTCCATTTGTCTGCAGGCCCTAAACTCCTATATAGAAATTCTTAAGTAATCACTGGTTCAACATCACATGAGCAACAGTTGCTAAAGCCTGGATTCAAACCTGGGTTGGTCTGACTCCAAAGCAAGGATCTTTACTGTTGTACTGTTCCAGCCCTAGCCAGGTTAAATCCAAGTTCAAAGGTCAAATCATAGACACACCTGAAAATGATCTTAGAGATCATCTAATTCAGGGGTTCTCAACCTCAGCACTATTGACATTTTTGGCTGGACAACTGTTGTGAGGACTGTCCTGTTCATCACAGGATGGTGAACAATATATCTGGCCTCTGTCCACTAGATGCCCTGTCATAACAACCAAATATGTCTCCAGATGTTGACAAGTGTCTTGGGGGGGAAGGGAAGGGGCAAAAATTGCCCTTGGTTGCAAACCATGGCTGTAAACCATCTCTTCATTTTACAATGATGAATCAAGCGTCCAAAGAGATGAAGTAACTTGTTTAAGTAGAATTCAGGTCGTTCATGCAGCATCATTGTATCCCCTGTAATGTACAGGGCACGATATGGTAACCAGAGAAAATAGATGCCCTCTTGGTCCTCACAATCTCTTAGGAGAAAGAAGGTTTTGCAGAAATATCTCTAAGTGTACGGAGTTGATAATGGATGAAGTGCTACACTACAGCAAGGTGTACAGAAAGAGAATATGACTTAATGTCCTGAGATCTGGATTTGCTTCTTTTTAGTTGCAGGACTTGAGCAAGCTTCACGTTCATCATCCGTGTTAAATAGTTCCTGGTATGCGCTCTGCCTATACCACCAGTTTCAGAACGGTTCTGGGAACGCATTGTACAAACTATGAAGCTCTTACAAACATCAGGTATTATTAAGATGACCAGAAATGTGATAATAATTATCATGATGATCAGAGTGATAGCTTTTCAGAATGGGAGAGAGCCATGGAGTGGTGACTTTATTCCTGGATCTTCCAACTGTAGACTCCCATTCTTTTGCGGGACCGGGAGAATGCAACGGCACACCCTCCCACACAGTGCCCTTCCCTCTTTGGAAACCAACCAAGTCCTAAGGCCTTTCAAGCTCCGCCTGTCTTAGGCTGTGGCCCCGCCCTTAAAGAGGAAGACTCCGCCCCTCCGCGCTGGCTGGAATTCCAGCAGCGCCGGTCCTCCAGTACGATCCCTCCCCAGCACCGGAGATTCCCGAACTTTCCCGATCTCTTCCCGGCCTCCCTCGGGCTCCCGGAACGGAGGAGACGGAGATTGCCGAGGGGCGCTGGCCCCGCCCCCTCCGCCGGCTCGGTCGCTACCACCGCCCCGCCCTCTCCGCCCCACCCCCTCCACAGCCTCCCGCGCGGGCTGGAGTCCCAGATCCCGGTCCCTCCCTCCTTCTTTCTCTCTCCCCGCCTTCCCGGTGCTGCCACTGTGGCGGGTCGGAGGATCCCGGCCAGTCAGCTCGTTCCTGCTTCGAGCCCCTCCTCCCCCCAAATAAACACCCCTCCCCACGCTTCGGGAGCCCGGACCGCCCCCTTCCTCCCTTGGCCCGGCGTGTTGTGAGGGACAGTGTGAGGGAGAGGGCGCGAGCCGGCGGGCAAGCTCTGTGAGTGCGAGAGGCGGGGCCCGCGGCGGCCGGGCCGGGGTTGCGTGTGCGCGTGGCGGTGCGAACGAGTGCGCGTCGCGACCCGCCAGCCGTCTCGAGCCGAGGACCTGGGGAACGACGACCGCCAGTCGCCGAGGGGCACTGGGCCCGCGCGCGCGCACGCACGCACGCACGCGGGGGCGGGGGCAGGCGCGCGCCCGCCTGTCGCGACTGTCGGGGCCGAGGCCCAGGGGGAGGTGGCCTGTCGCGGGTCGCCCGGCTCCCGGAGGCGAGGGGGGCGCGGGCGGATGGCGGAAGGCGCCCAGCCGCAGCAGCCGCTTCAGCTCGGGCCCGGCGCCGCTGCCCGGGGGATGAAGCGGGAGTCGGAGCTGGAGCTGCCGGTGCCCGGAGGCGGGGGAGACGGAGCCGAGCCCGGCCTGAGCAAGCGGCCGCGCACCGAGGAGGCGGAGGCCGCCGACGACGACGGCGGCGGGATGCAGGTGACCGCGCGAGACGGGCGCCCCGTGTCGGCGGGGGTGCGGCGCGGGGCTGGGAGGGCGGCCCGGGGCTCCCTGGGCTCTCGGGGCTTGGAGCGGGGTGGACTCCAGGGATCCTGGCTTGGAAGTGGGAGGGGGCCGTTCGGGGCCTGGTTGAAAGGTAGCGCGAGCTCCGGCTTGGAGGCGAAGGGTGCAGGAGGACCCTGGTGTGCCCACGAGGATCCCGATTTCTGAGGGGACACAACGCGTGGATAGGTTTTGGGGGGAAATCGAACGTGGTTGAGATGGGTTCCATTTCTTCAAACCCTTCCATAGTTCCCTAAGGCGGAGTGGAAGCCAGGAGGTCCTGCCCAAGAGAGCCACTGGACTGAGTCGAGGACGAGGGGACAGTGGTGGGAACCCCCCTAATGAAGGAATACCTTTTTGGCAGTCCTCGACACACACTGGGATGTGGAAGGGGTGTGGCATATAAAGGAGAGGAGTGAAAAGCGAGAAAACTCCTCGAGAGCCCAAAGGGGATGTGGCTTAGTTTGTGGGTTAACTCAGTCACATACACAAGGAGTGTGAGAAGTGCAAGGAGTTTGGTAGAGTTTGGGGACAGCGTGGTGCTCAGTCGCATTAAGTTTGTGGAGCTAGCTAATGGGTCTGAAGAGAGAGCAGGACGTGTCCCTCCTGGACTTTGCCAGTTCATTTTACCTAGCTAAAGCATCGACTAGCTCTTTAATGTTCTCGGATATAAAAGAAAACGTACAGGGCTATTAGAAGACTGGATTCTGAGTTGGGCAGGGAATGGGGAGTTGTAGTTATGATGTCAGTTGACTTTGTAATTTGCGGAAGAACGTGAAATCTTCATAGGTTGTAGGATTGGGTCTCTGTGCAGTAAAGAGTCACTGTGGAGTGGTGAGGGGTTCACTAACTAGCAGTTGTTTAGATATCTGTCTCATTCTCTTAGAATCATAGAATGTTAGAAGGGACCAGAGACATTTTCCAGGGGTTCTTAACCCGGATAGACTTGGAAGATTCTTATGCAGAATAGTAGTTTACGTGCCCCTTTTTCTGGGGCGGGGGAGGGAAGAGTCGATATTTATTTATTTTTCTTTTTGGAGTGGATTCAAGTCCCTAAATGTTTTTTAACCACCTCATGTTATAGATGAGGACTCAAAAGTCCCAAGAAGTCTGGTAATCACCTAAGGCCAACCAGTTAGCTGGTAGGAAAACCAGAGCTGAAAGCCCGGTCCTCGAATTCCTACCGCTGTCTGTGCTCTCTCCATTACACCACTCTTGGAAATCTCTGCGGTGCTGAAAGACTTCCTGTGCTCCGCTCCTGCTTTCCAAGGCTCTGCCTGACTTCCTGTGTTAGTGATGGAGCCCTGGCTCAGCCTGGCACGTTGGCTGTGTGCGTCTCCGTCTCCTTCGCCGAGGCCCCTTCTGTTGATTTGGGGAAAGGGGTCCTCTTCGTGTTTATTTTTGAATTCTTTTTTTGTGCCTGATTTTGTCCTCCATTAGAACTCTCAGGCAGAGGGATTGTGAGAAGTAAAAGCTTGGGGCCGTGGAAAAAATATAGAAGAATATGGGGAGACTTCAGGTGAGGTGGGTTACTATTGGATGGTAAGGAGGGAAGACCGGATGTTGGTGCTGGTGAGCGTGTTCTGCTTGGTGTGTGCATATACCTGTGTATGTCTGTATTCATTTGTTGTCTCTGTCAGTCATAGTTAACAGACTCCTCCCGTTACTCCTGGGGCCCATTATTTGCTGGTTGCCTTCAAATTAGCTAAGAGCAGTCGTTTTTGGAAGCGGAGCAGCGCATAGGGACTTTGGGGTATTCAGGGGAAGGAGTGGATTAAGTCCTTTGGGTACAAATGGGCAACTTAGAATTATCCTACAGAGAATGCTTTTTTCATTCTGTGTATTTGTGTATGTCTATTTTTCACTATATGCAGTTTCATTGTTGTAGTTCCAACACACCTTGTTACAGGTATTCATATCATCAGTGATTTAGTCCCCAGACGAGCTGTATGGTTGTGGGAAAATCCCTTCTTTTGGGGTCTGTATTTCCTTAGTTGTAAAATAAAGTGTTTATACAAGATGATTTCTAAGTTACCTTCTAAGAAATACATCAAGTTCTCTGATCGTAAGGTACTTGGTGTTTACAGTTTAGGTAGGAGGGCAACATGGGTGAAAGTTTTAAAAAGTTTATATATAAATGATTTATATATAAATTAAGTTCAGAGGAATAGGACTAGAGATACTGCAGGGTAGATGCATATCAACGGCATTGCATAATTTAGAGGCAAAGTATGCTGGTTATTTGTGCCTGTGGGTCCAGGAGATGGAGATGGTCATTCCTGCTGGAATGGTCAAGGAAGGCTTTATGAGGAGTTGAAATTTGAGGTGTAATTGGGAGTAAAAGAGAAATAACATTCATGAAAGGATAAAATTTAAGCCTAGGTGACCTCTAGAATGTTCTTGTATCATTCTGAGAATAATTATAGAGTGTTTAATATTCATTTAACTAATGCTTATTGCACAACTGCTTTGTCCAGCCCCTGTTCTAGAGCCTCAGAGATATGGTAGTGAACTAAGGACCCTGCCCTTACGGAATGCATATTCCAATGGAAAGAGATAGACAGGAAAGAAATCAACAGCTGTTAGGTGGTGATAAATGCTAAGAAGCAAAATAAAGCAGATAGAGAGTGATGAAGAAGATGGTCAGGGAAGGCTTCTTTGATGGGTGACCCTTGAATGGAGTGAGGGCATGGGCCTTTCAGATATTTGAGGGAAGAGGGCTCAGGAGAGGAACTGTGGGTACTGAGGCAGTTGCAGCTTCTGAAGCTAGGACAGCAACTGCCTCTTTCATGTTGTGGGGTAGAGACCCCTGTAGCTGGAGCAGAAAGAGCAGGGGTTTGGAGCCTTAGGAGAGGGTATCAGTGGTGTAGAAATGTCTATGGGCTATTTGTAAATCTACGCTTTAAAAATCTTAGTAGTGTAGCTGACCTTTTTGGTGTATGGGCTTATTTTATTTTTACTTATTTATTTTTGTTTTTAGGAAAACAAAAATTTATTACCTTACAAATCTGGAGATCAGAAGTCCAAAATCAGCCCTGGCTGGTGTGGCTCAGTGGTTGAGCAGCAGCCTGCAAACCAAAGGGTCACTGGTTTGATTCCCAGTCAGGGCACAGGCCTGAGTTGTAGGCCAAGTCCTCAGTAGGGGGTGTGGGAGAGGCAGCCACACATTGATGCTTCTCTCCCTCTCTTTCTCTTTTCCCTTCCCCTCTCTCTAAAAATAAATAAATAAAATCCTGAAAAAAAAAACCCTCATCGCTTCCTAATCATTAAAAAAAAAAATCAAAAATCAATCTCACTGATCTAAAGTTAAGATGTCAGCAGGCTGGTTGCTCCTAGGGACTCTGGGGGAGAATCCATTCGTTGCTGCTTCCAGTGCCTGCAGGCTGCCCGCATCCCTTGGCTCGTGACTGTGTCACGCCAGTCTCTGCTTCCATTGTTACGTGGCCTTCTCTCTATATGAGTTTGTCTTAAAGTATGTGTTTTTTTTTTCCTTGCAGCTTAACACAAATAGAATTTTTCTGAGGTCATAGCTCCTTCTGGGAAGCCTCCTGACAATTTAGTTCACAACAGCCACAGCCTTCCCTTGGCTGCTTTACCTTGATGTTTAATTATGCATCTCATATATTGTCCCTTAATTGTGTTGTTATTCTTGTTCCCTTAGTGAGACTGTAAGCCTCTAGAAGATGGGAACGATACTTTCTTTGTATTTATTCTTTTTGAAAAAATTGGTTCTAGAGAGAAGGGAAGGGAGGGAGAAAAGGCGGAGAGAAACATTGATGTGAGAGAGAAGCATTGATTGGTTGCCTTTTGCACATGCCCCAGCTGGGGACTGAACGGGAAACCTGGGCACGTGCCCTGACTGGGAATCGACCTGACAACCTTTTGGTTTGCAGGGTAATGCCCAACCAGCTGAGTCACACGGACTAGGATTCTTTGTATTTATTCTTGATACCTAATGCTTTTGGGTACATGGTATGTGCTTAATGCCTCTTAAGTTGAAGTTGAAATTTACCTTTCTTACAAATAATTAAAGGATAGAAAAGAATGAAATTCAGGGGTGAGAGTACCTTCATGAAATTCCCCAGTCTTTTGAGTGTCAAAAGATTAGCCTTTTTTTGCTGTGGCTAGTGTGGCTCAGTTGATTGAGTGCCAGCCTGTGAACCAAAAGGTTCCCAGTTTGATTCCTGGTTGGGGCACATGCCTGCCTGGGTTGCAGGCCATGTCCCTGGTTGCATTCAAGAGGCAACCGAGAAACAGCTTGATGTTTCTCTCCCTCTCTTTCTCCCTCCCTTCCTCTCTCTGTAAAAGTAAATAAATAAAAAAAATCATTTTGTTTTAAAAGAAAAAGATTAACCCTTTTTTATAGGGGAAAGTTATTTCCAGGGGTTAATTTCCCAAGATTGCTTATGAAACGGAGCTGTACCTCTAAGGTGCAGATTCCAAAGCTGAATCCTGTCAAGTTACAGCCACTAAGCCTTTGGAGTAAATCACTGTTTCCCGAAGTGGACTGTAGTGAATGCGGGGGAGTCCGTGGTACTCACGTTGTGATCCTTAGACTCACATGGACGGGAGGAAGGGTCGGTCCTTTCAAGGGCAGGACCCAGAACCTTCATGTGGGTGGCAGAGGAGTCAGCACTACCCTGAAAATGGTATAGAGACAGAGAGCCCTGAACCATGGGGCAGGAGGGAGGAGGCAAATCAGCTTGTAAGCTGGAATACTGTTAGAGAAACGAAGTTAGTTGTTAAAGAGGGTTCCTGGCAATACTGTACTCTCACATGGCAGAAGGTTAACTGCATAGATTTCAGAGGTTCATTTCACTTGCCGCCAGTCTCATATGTATGAAAATTGGGCTTTCTGAAACATACTGATGAATGAATTCTTTTGGTTATCTGTTCTAGTGGATAAAAACAATTTAACAAAAATTCAATCTTTGTGC